CCTGGCCACCGCAGCCTCGACCTGCTGGGCTCCAGTGATCCTTCCGCCTCAGCCTTCCAAGTGGCAGTACCACGCCCGGCCAATTTTTGATTTATTGTAGAGATGAGGTCTTGCTAAGTTGCTGAGGCGGGTCTTGAACCCGCGGACTCAGGCCATCCACTCACCTCAGCCTCCCATAGGCGCGGGATTACAGACTGAGCCACCGAGCCCTGCTCCTTTAGCATTTCTTATAGAGCAAGCCTGCTGACACAGAGTTTACTTAGATTTTCTTCACTTCAAGAAAGGTTCTCGAGGATATTTTCACTGAACATAGAATTCTGAATTGACATATCTTTTGTCTCAGAATTTTAAAGATATTATTGTAGTGTCTTCTGGCTTCCTTGATTTCTGTTGAGAAATCAATGGTCATTTAAATCCTTATTCCCTGTAATGTAATATGTCACTTTTCTGAAGCTTTCCGGATTTAAAAAAAATCTTTGGCTTTAATAATTTTTAGAAATTTATTTTTTGTTGAGGTAAAGTATACATGTATAATTTACCATCTGATGCCAGGTGAGGTGCGGCGCAAAATCCATGGATTCTTTGGCTCATTCCTTTTTTTGGGGTTGGAGTCTCACTCTGTTTCCCAGGCTGGAGTGCAGTGGCATGCTCATGGCCACCCCAGCGTCGATCTGCTGGGCTCTGCTGATCCTTCTGACTAAGCCTGCCAAGGAGCGCTACCATGCTCAGGTAATTATTTATGTATTTATTGTAGAGATGAGGTCTCGCCAAGTTGCTCGGGCTGGTCTCAAAGTCGCGGGCTCCCAAAGTGCTGGGATTACAGGCTGAACCACCGAGCCTGACCTTGGCTCATTTCTAAAATGAATTTTATTTATTTATTTATTTTTTTGAGTTGGAGTCTCACTCTGTCGCCCAGACTGGAGTGCAGTGGCCGCTCCCGTCCACCGCAGCCTGGACCTGCCGGAATTGCAGGCGTGCGCTACCATGCCCGGCTAATTTTTTGATTTAGTGTAGAGATGAGGTCTCACCAAGTTGCCCAGGCAGGTCTCAAACCCGCGGGCTCAGGCAATTCACTCACCTCAGCCTCCCAAGGTGCGGGATTACAGGCTGAGCCACCGAGCCTGGCTAAAATGAATTTTAGAGTGGCCAGAAAAGTTTTTTGTTTATTTTTTTCTGTTGGAGTCTCACTTGGTCACCCAGGCTGGAGGGCAGTGGTACACTTACGGTCACTGCAGCCTCGACCTGCTGGGCTCAGGCAATCCTTCTGCTTCAGCCTTCCAAATAGTTGGAATTACAGGCACACGCCACCATGCCCAGCTAGCGAATTTTTTGATTTATTGTAGAGATGAGGTCTCACCAAGTTGCCCAGGCTGGTCTTGAACCTGTGGGCTCAGGCAATCCTTTCACCTTGGCCTCCCAAAATGCTGGGATTATAGGCATGAGTCACAGTGCCAGCCCCAGCAAAGTTTTAAAACAACCTTTGTTAAGGAGAAAAAAGAGAAGGAAGAAGAAAGATTCATGGCACCTGCCTCGGGCAAGTTTTTCAGAGGAAAAATGCCCCAGCTTTTGCTTTCAACTGCTAACTAGTTATAGCTACCTAGGTATTGATTTGCTAATGCTAATCATTGGAGTCCAGGTAATCCTGGGTTAAGAGAGATTGACATCTCTAGGCTCCTGATGGGAGGAGCAAGGGGAAGGGTGTTTTTCTGACCACATAGTTTCCCCCTCAGGAGACCTGCCAGACTGTCTAGCAGTGCGGTGGCTCACACCTGTAATTCCAGCACTTTGGGAAGCAGATGTGAGGGGATTGCCTGAGTCTAGGGATTTGAGACTAGCCTGAGTAATATGGCAAGACCTCATCTCTACAATAAATCAAAAAATTAGCTTGGTGTGGGTGACATGCGCCTGTGGTTCCAGCTACTTGAAAGGCTGAGGCGGATGGATCCTCTGAGCTCAGCAGGTTGAGGCTGTGGTCTCCATGAGTGTGCCAGTGCACTTCAGCTTGAACGACAGAGTGAAACTCTTGACTCCAAAAAGAAGAAGAAGAAGAAAAAAAAGCATTTCCTTTATATTGAAAGTTGAAAGTCCTAACATCTGACTCACTTTGCAGTTGGCATCTTTTGATCATTTTTTAATTTGAGAATTGCTCACATTTTCCTGGTTCTTTGTGTGTGGCATAATTTTGGAATGTATCCACGTTGTGAATATTGTTTGTGTAGACTCTGGGTTCTGTTACAGTCTTCTGGAGCATGTTGCTGTTTGTATTTTAGCAGGAGCCTTGCTTCAGGTTCAGACTGTAACTTCCATCTTGCCTTCCAGGGGCATTGGTTAAAATCTTAGTCTGATTTGGCTGTCATACATAGGCATAGCTCAGGGGCAGAGGTTTAAGATCTTATTTAAGTTCTGTAAGCTTTGACTATATTAGTTTGGGTCACATTTAAGATCAAATCTCGCCAGGCTCGGTGGCTCAGCCTGTAATCCCGCGCCTTGGGAGGCTGAGGTGAGTGGATTGCCTGAGCCCGTGGGTTTGAGACCCGCCTGGGAACTTGGCAAAACCTCATCTCTACAATGAATCAAATAATTAGCCAGGCGTGGTAGCACATGCCTGTAGTTCCAGCTACTTGGAAGGCTGCGGTGGAAGGATCGCTGGAGCCTAGCAGGTCGAGACTGCAGGAGCTGGGAGCGGCCACGGCACTCCAGTCTGGGTGACAGAGTGAGACTCCAACTCAAAAAAAAAAAAAAAAGTTCAAATCTCATTTCAGTTTTTAAAGTCTTTGGCAGGTTGGTTAGAGTATGTGCCATACATACCAGCTCAGGTTATGTTGTGACTTCTGTGGACTTCTATGGATTCTTGCATTGAATTATGGGATCTTCTTTGCCTGTATCTTTTCCAGGATTCTCTATTCCCCCTCCTTTTGGCCTACAGGGAACCCTTTTCCTAGTTTTTCTGGCTAGAAAGAGGGGGATTTCTGTTGAATTTACGCCATCCATGCTGCTCTGCAAGTTGCAGAGAAGAGAGAGAAAGCACTGGCAAACTCGCCCCATTTGTTCACCTCCCCTCCCCAGTCTGACTCCCCTGCATAATCCACTTGATTTTGTTTACAGAGTTCAATCAGCAGGAGGAATGGGCTGTGGTGGGTTTACCACCACACCAGAACAAGGATCTCTGTATTGGATGTGTAATCTTGAACCTCATGTGCAGGGAGCTGAAACTCCTTCCCTGTTACTGTTATGCTGACATCATCAGTTTCTGTTATATTTACTCTATCCCCACATCCTCCTCTCTCCCAGAGTACACCAGTATTGACCAGTGTGTTGCTTCTCTTTACACATTTATGAATTTTAAAAATAAGTAAAATAAGCTGCTTTATGTGTGTATTTGTTTTTATTTACAGAACTGACATGTACTGGAGATCCTGTTTTATTCCCTTCATTCAGAAGTGCGCTTTTTAGTTCCGTACATGTCTCTGTAGAATTGGCTTATTGCTTCTCACGACTACATAGTATTGTATAGTAGACTTGTGTCATAGCTTATTCATATATTTTCCTAAGGATGGTCACCTGTGTAACTTTCCACTCCTTGCTGTCACAAACAAGCCTGGATGTGTAATTTTTATCAGCTCTTAAGTATTATCTTGAACCTGCCAGTTTACCATCTCTATGACAAAACCTTACTTCAAGCCCACATCATTTTTACCCATACTATTGCAACAAGCTAACCCTTGTCTTTTTGTTATTCGTCCCCATGGGCCATCATCCACGCAGCAGGGAAATTCTGAAGTCTACACTTTGAGCACTGCTGTTCTGCATCTTGGTCTACCTAGAAGAATGCTACTTTGTTTTGACTCAGTAATGTTTGTGGACTGTCTTACTGACTGGTCTTGGATTTTGGAATCTAGATTCAGCTATGTATCAGAATTCTCTGGCCAGCTTAATTCACACATGATAACATCCTTTCTTTAGCTGTGTTTTGTTGCCTGGGCAAGATAGGGCAGCCCTGGCATCAGGGGCTTAGGGAGAAGACAGAGAGAAGGAAGATGGGTTGGATTAGGGCCTATGGATTATTTTCTTTTCCTTTGTCTTCTCAGAGATACCCTTTAGTTACTGTCCCACTGTTAGAGAAATAGGGAGGCTGGGACATACCTGGTCACAAATCCGTGGTCTCCCGAAGAGTCACAGAACACCTTCTTAGTTTGTCTGCTTTCTTTCCTGAGGCAACTCTAGGATGGAATGTCTACTTGAGCTGCAGAGTGATCATTTTTGTGGACTGCTTACTCTTTCTGATTACAATGAAGTATAATAATAATTTGAACATGTTATGTTAGATCAACCATTGCAATTGTTAGGCGATTAAGACTTACATTCTGTTTTTATAGCAGGCTTCTTAGTTTTTTGCACAGGTAACCAGTGGCTATGATGTACAAGATTTGAAGGGTATTTTGCTGCACACCCTCTTTGGGCATGTGTCTTTGTGTTGTACTAGGAGCAGGAGCCAGTGTTCCATAAAGGACAATAGCTTCCAGTACACTATCCCACACGATGACTCCTTAAGTGGCTCCTCATCTGCCTCTTCGTGTGAAGCAGTCAGCGATTTTCCAACATCCTTCCGAAAATCTACCTACTGGATGAAGATGAGAAGGATCAAGCCAGCTGCGGCTTCTCGTGTTGAAGGTATCAGCTGCTTGGTCTTAGTCCAAGGATGGGGCATGCTCCAAAGCTTAATTTTGAGGTAGTGGCTGTAAGTGGCTCTTAGAGTGTTAAACCCCATCTATTTGTCTTTCATGAGTGATTTAAAATTTATACTTGGTACCAGACTTCTCGTCTTCACAGGTTTTAACTTCTTTCCCCTTGTTCTTCTAGTTCGATCATCTGTTGCGAATTTAAGGGCAGCTATGAGGGTTATTCAGGGTAGAAGATTCAAGATGGTGACAGTCTCAAGGGTCCTTGGTAGCTCTCTATTTTGAGCAGTTCTTCTGCTTCACGGTTAGCCTCAAATCAGGTTCAAGCAAAACACATTGCCTGAAGGCCCCTGTTATTCACAGGGAATGTTTGATGATTCCGTGTGGAGAAAAGTGCTGAAGGAAAGGGGAAGGCTGCCAGTCTCTACAAATGTCACAGACCCTTTGTGAGGCCTGTGTTCACTGTTGATCTTTCCCTTTGATGTCTCATGGATGATGTTTGGTTTTTTTTTTTGCGTTGGAGTCTCACTCCGTCACCCAGGCTGGAGTTGCAGTGGCACACTCACAGCCACCCCAGCGTCGACCTGCTGGGCTCAGGCAGTCCTTCCACCTCAGCTTTCCAAGTAGCTGGGACTACAGGCATGTGCTACCATACCCAGCTAATTTTTGATTTATTGTAGAGACAAGATCTTGCTAAGTTGCCCAGGTTGGCCTTGAACCCTCAGGCTCAGGCAACCCACTTGCCTTCAAAGTGCTGGGATGACAGGCTGAGCTACCAAGCCCTTTCGAATGCTGTTTTGAAGGCAGGCCTAGATGTTCATTGACAGGCGGTGCTGATTTGTTTTGTTTTGGTATTTCAGGGTCAGGTGGAGTATCAGCCAAAGGGAAAAGGAAACCCAGGCAGGAAGAAGATGAAGACTATGGAGAATTTCCTCAGAAGAAGCATAAGCTTTATGGTAAGGTAGTGACTTTGCTGTTTCTTTTTCCTTGGGTGACTGGACTTTATTCTTTGAGGATAAAGGAGAACTAAAACATAGGCTTGGGCCCTAGAGTGACTTCTGTGTCTTTGGACTTTTTGGGGAGGGAAGGGCCTCTATCCTGCCTCATCTTACTCTTTTATTCTGTCATGATTTAAGGGAGTCCTTTGGCTGATGGCATGGGGCATAGGGTGTTGATAGGGGAGAGAAAAGATTTTGGCACTGGAGTGGGATTAGCAAAGGTGATATGTTGGACTTTAAGTCTCTGTCTTACATCAGGGAGGAAGCAACGGCCTAAAACGCAGCCCAGTCCCAAGTCCCAGGCTCGTCGTATTCGAAAGGAGCCACCGGTTTATGCAGCAGGTATGCTTTCTTGTGGAAGCTTTGAGCAGTGTAGTTTTTGCACTGAGATAATTTGTCATTGTTGTCTGTGAAGGAGTGGTATACTAAAGCATTTCTTTAAGGAGGCAGCTATTGAGGGCCTGCCTTTAGAGGTTAGGCAGACCTTTGCTCAAGGTTTGGCTCTTCATCAACTTACTGACCTGCCTCGGTTTATCTAACTTCCTCAAGCCTCAGTTTCCTGGTCTATAAATAAGAGATAGTAAAGGCAGTCAGAATTTTGAAAATTAAATGGGATAAAAATATTTCGCATAGTTTCAGGCACAGAGAAACACTCAGCAAACTGACTTTTACATATCTCAGTATTACCCTGCTCTGAAAAATGTTTCCCAGTTCTTCAAGCCACTGGGCTTTGGAGTAGTTCTCAGATAGTTTTTAACATGGGGAAATGGGTTTCAGAAACTCACTGTCTTTAAAAAAAATTACTTTTAGAAGTTATATGCAGCAAGAGTCTCTTCATTATTCTCTACCAGGAAAGGGAAAAACTATTTTATGATACTTTTCCTTAGTGGTAGGATTATGCTTTTTTGTAACTGGAGAATACTGCAGATGACAGAGTGTTCCTTTCTTTCTCATAGGCAGTTTGGAGGAGCAGTGGTACTTAGAAATCGTGGATAAAGGAAGTGTCTCCTGCCCTACCTGCCAGGCAGTGGGGAGGAAGACCATAGAGGGTTTGAAGAAACACATGGAAAACTGCAAACAGGTTAGATATTTTGTGGCGTTTCAGACCCCGTGTGCTGTGTCGGGTATGCACATAGCAGTGGATGAGAAGCAGCATTGTGTAATAGAACATAGGGTTTGGATCCCACAGACAGGTTTGAATCCGCTCTTAGCTACAAAGTAACGTGCCATTTAGCTTTCTGTATGTGGACCTTGGTTTTCTCATGTGTAAAATTGAGAAGAAATCCTACCTGTGTAGCACATGAGAGGATAAGAAAGAAGTAACCATGTTAAGCAACTACCCCATCTATCACTTGGCAAATGTTAGTATTCAATAAATGGGAGTTCTTACTTTGTTTTATTTATTTTATTTTTTTGTGTTGGAGTCTCATTCTGTCGCCCAGGCTGAAGTGCGGTGGTATACTCATAGCCACTGCAGCCTTGACCTGGTGAACTTAGGTGATTCTTCTGCCTCAGACTTCCTAGTGGAACTACAGGCACATGCCACCATGCCTGGCTAATTTTTTTGATTTATTGTAGAGGTGAGGTCTCGCCAAGTTGCCCGGGCTGGTCTCAATCCTCTCACCTTGGCTTCCAAAGTACTGGGATTATAGGCATGAGCCACTGCGCTCACCTGGTAGTTCTTACTTTAGCTGGGTGTGGTAGCCCGTGCTATAATCAGGCAACTTGGAAGGCTGAGGCGGAAGGATAGCTTAAGCCAGAAAGATTGATGTTGGAGTGCCCATGAACGTGCCACTGCACTCCAACCTGGGCGACGGAAAAATGAATTTCTTTCACCTCTTTGCCCTTGAGAACATGACACTGAGTTTGTGGGACTTTGAGATTCACTAACTATTGAGTTTGGGAAATAAATGGAACCTAGATGAGAATATCTGAGTACGACTTTGTGACATTCTGTTTTCTCTGTTGAACGGTATAACACTGAGCAGTATTTTTCCTTTTAGGAAATGTTTACTTGTCATCACTGTGGGAAACAGCTTCGTTCACTGGCAGGGATGAAGTACCATGTCATGGCAAATCATAACAGTTTGGTAAGAATGCCTTCTGTCTTTTGTGCGCCTGCGTGATGTTTAGATGTCTTTTACTTATGTAAGTGCAGATATCTCAGTGCAGATGGCTCTGGGACTTTTATGGATGTGAGTAAAGAGAGCATTTTGATAGCAGGTTCATATCCTAAGAGTTAAAAGTTTAGAGCTGTTATTTCCGTTATTTTCACTTCCTTTGTCCAGGAGAAGCTGGAGAAAGTCAAGAGTCAGATGACTTGAACTTCACAGGCACCAGCTTGGCTCTGGTCCAGTCATTGGTTTTGTTTCCTGTCTTTTCCATGAATCGTCTGCTTTTTGCTTCTCTTGCTTTGTAGCCCATCTTGAAAGCCGGAGATGAGGTAGATGAGCCTAGTGAGAGGGAGCGGCTCCGAACAGTTCTGAAGAGACTGGGAAAGCTCAGGTGCATGCGTGAGGTAAGGGTGCAAGGACAGAGGTGCCTCCTCCCTGGAGTCTCAGGTCCATGGCTTCCTGGTCTTCTTTTCAGTGTCCTCTCACCTCCTTCACACATCTCCTAGTTCTGTGCCAACTTGGTCTCTTGAACTCACTGATAGTTCTTTTTTTTCCATCTCCAAAACATTTATTTTTCTCTCCTTTCACTTTGTGTGCTAAAGGGGGTCTTTACCATCCTTTCTGAGCTGTGATGAAGAGGATCTCAGTAACATCACTGAGATGAACTGTGATGTTGCTGGGCATTTGGTGTTGGGATGGGGTTGGTCACAGACCAAGGGGAAGTTGACCCAGAGGAGGTGCACAGTCAGTGTTTTGAATGTTGACTGGACTGATGGTTATGCTTGGCCACAGTAGGATGGCCAATGACAAGGGCAGGTGGTCCCATGGAGACGCTGGAGAGGGTCATGTGATACCAGAAGGTTCTTTGCGTTTTGTGGTGGCGCGTGCGTTGTCGCTATTTGGAAATCGAGGGATCCTGCCCGAAGAGGCTTATCTCTAGGCCTCTCCCCTGTGTTCAGAGTTGCTCCAGTAGCTTCACCAGCATCATGGGATACCTATACCATGTCAGAAAATGCGGCAAAGGCGCTGCAGAGCTGGAGAAGATGACCCTGAAATGTCACCACTGTGAAAAACCATACAGATCGAAGGCTGGACTTGCATATCACCTGAGGTCAGAGCATGGGCCTGTGAGTACTGATTCCTTTCTGGACCCTGTTTGGGCATGTGTTTTGTGGTGGGTGCTTCCCTTACATCTTCTGGGTGTGTCTGGTTCTTATTCCTTTTAGCTTGGAATGTTTTTGTTCTCTCTTCCCTTATTTCTGCCTTTTGGACATTACTGAGTTAGAGAAATAAAAATTGCATGTATAGTCCAGGCAGAAGTAAGCTCATAATATATTTTTAAGGCTAAATGCATTCCCCCCATAGTTAAAAATTTTTTGGGAATCTGCCCACCTGGTTCCTCTATTCCACTTCTGTTTTGCTTTTTTTTTTTTGCGTTCTCAAGCTTTCTCACCCTGTGCTTTTTTTTAGAGTCAAGTTTATTAAGGTACAACTTACAGTAATATTTATCATTTTAGTGCACAGTTGTAAGAGTTTTGACACATGCATGTAACCACTGCCACAGCCAAGACATGGGACAGTACTGTCACCTTGTAGTAGTCAGCTTTCCCCACCTGTAGCCCCTGGCAAGCACTGATCTATTTCTGTCCCTATAGTTCTGCCTTTTTCAGAATATCATACAAATGAACTCATACAGCATGTAGTCTTCTGTGTCTGACTTCTTATATTTAGCATAATGCATGTGAAATTTGTCCATGTTTGCATGTATCGTTAGTTTATTCCTTTTTATTTCTGACTAGGGTTCGATTCCACTGATGGATGTTTCAAGTTTGTTGTTTATCCACACACCAGTTGAAGAACATTTGGGTTGTTCCTAGTTTTTCGCAATGATGAATAAAGCTGCTATAAACATGCACATAAAGGTTTTTGTGTAAAAATAAGTTTTAATTTGTCTTGGATAAATACATAGGAATGCTATTGCTAGGTCATATGACAAATGTATGTATGTTTTACTTTGTAAGAAACTGCTGAACCATTTTCCAAGGCGGCTGTGCCATTTTCCATTTCCACCAAAGTATGAGAATTCCAATTGCTTTGCATCATTGTCTACGCTTACTATTGTCAGTTTCTTTTTTAAAAAATCCATTGTAATAGGTTTCTAGTATTTTATTGTGGTTTAAATTTGTATTTCCCTTATGACTTAATGATGCTTAATGCTGTTGACTGTTTTTGTATGTGGTGTTGCAGTTTGTATTTTTTTTTTAGTTCAAATCCTTTGTTCATTTTGGGGGGGGATTTTTGTGGTCTTATTAAGAAATATTATTGAATATTTTTTGAGTTTTTTATTATTGTGGATACAAGTTCTTTTTTTTGGTTCTGCTTTGTTTTTGTTTTTGATTTGGTGTTTCACTCTTGTCCGGGCTTTAATACAGTGACACGATCACAGCATCTGTAGCTCCAGTTACTTGGAAGACTGAGGCAGAAGGATCGCCTGAACCCAGCATGTCAAGGCTGTGGTGGCTGTGAGTGTGCCACTGCACTCCAGCCTGGATGATACAGTGAGTCTGTGACTCAAAAAAAAGAAAAAAAAATTTTTTTGTAGAGCTGAGTTCTCACTATTGTTGCCCAGGCTGGTCCCAAATTCCTGGTCTCAAGCAACCCTCCCACCTTAGCCTCCCAAAGTGCTGCGATTACAGACCTGAGCTACCACACTCGGCCAGGATACAAGTTCTTAATCAGACAGATACATCTTTATTCTTTTTTTTATGGTGTTTTTTGAAGAACAGAGCTCAAAGTTTTGAAAGGGTTTAATTTATATTTTTTCTTTTATGAATAATACCTTCATTGCATATAAGAAATCTTTGCTTAACCCAATGTATACTCTTCTCTTTCTGCTGTAAGTCACTACAGACTTACTGGCTTGAAACAAAACAGATTTATTACCTCAATTATTTAGGTGAGAAGTCCAGGTTCAGCATGGCTCAGTTAGGTCTCCTGTTTAGAGTGTCACTGGGCTGGACTCAGAATGTCCATGGGAGTGTTCCCTTTTTTTTTTTTTTTTGAGTTGGAGTCTCACTCTGTCGCCCAGACTGGAGTGCTGTGGCCGCCCCCGGCCCCCGCAGCCTCGACCTGCTGGGCTCCAGCGATCCTTCCGCCTCAGTTTCCGCCTCAGTAGCCGGAATTACAGGCATGCGCTACCACGCCCGGCTAATTTTTTGATTTATTGTAGAGATGAGGTCTCGCTGCCCAAGCGGGTCTCGAACCTGCAGGCTCAGGCAATTCACTCACCTCAGCCTCCCAAAGGCACAGGATTACAGGCTGAGCCACCGAGCCTGGCTAGGGGGGGGTGTTCCCTTTTGGAGGCTCTGGGGAAGAATCTGCTTCCAGATGCATTCATATTGTTCAGAACTTTTGTTCCATGCAGTTGCAGGAGTCCCTTTTCCTTATTTGCTGTAGGCTGGGAGTTCTCAGTGTCTGAAGGGCACCTGCATACCCTGGCTTATGGCCCCTTCATCTTAAAATCAGGGATAGCAAGTTGAGTCTCTGATGTCTCTTCTGTCACTGGATCTCTCTTACGTAAAGTCAACTGGTTATAGACTTTTTTGTTTTTAATCGAAGTCTCACTCTGTTGTCCAAGCTGGAGTGCAGTGGCACGCTCATGGCCACCGCAGTCTTGACCTACTGGCCTCAGGCGATCCTTCCACCTCAGCCTTCCAAGTAGCTGGAACTACAGGCATGTGCCACCATGCCCAGCTAATTGTAGAGATGAGGTCTCACCAAGTTGCCCAGGCTGGTCGCAAACACATGGGCTCGAGCAGTCCTCTCATCTTAGTCTCCCAAAGTGCTGGGATTATAGGTGTGAGCCTGGCCTAGTTATAGATTTTAATGACATCTACAAAGTCCCTTCACATCAACACCTAGATTAATGTTTGATTAACTGATGACTTTAGTCTAGCCAAGTTGACACATCAAAAAACCATCACACCTAGGATTACATAAATTTTCTCCCTTGATTTCTTTTAGGAGTTTTATAGTTTAATGTTTCACATTTATAGCCATGGTCCATTTTCAGTTTGCTTTTGTATACAGCAAGAGATGTATGTATGGGTTGAGGCTTACATATGAAAATGCCTTAATGTGTAACAGCTTTGATTTACTACAACAGAACAGATTTTATCCTGCTAAGAAATTTGTTAAGAGTAAAATTTGGAGTTGGGCGCAGTGGCTCACACCTGTAATCCCAGTACTTTGGGAGGCTAAGCTCACAGGTTTGAGATCAGCCTGGGCAACTTGACGAGACTTCATCTCTACAATAAATTAAAAAATTAACCGGGTATGGTAGTGCGCCTATAGTTTCGGCTGCTTGGAAGGCTGAGGTGAATGAATTGCTGGAGCTCAGCAGGTCGACACTTGGGTGGCCGTGAGTGTGCCACTGCACTCCAGCTTGGGAGACGGATTGAGACGCCAACTCAAAAAAACAAACAAAAAAAGGATAAACTTTGCATGAGTATGGTAGAGTTTGATGCTAGTGGCTAGTAAGTTACTAAGTCTCTCTTTTATGCTTAGAGCAGGAAGGACGGCCTTTCATTGCTGCCTCTGACGGATGCCCCTCATCAGACCTGTGTTTTGCTGTGTCTCTCTTCTTGCAGATCTTCTTTCCAGAGTCAGGACAGACAGAGTGCTTGAAGGAGATGAGCCTGGAGCCAAAGAGTGGGGGCCGAGTTAAGAGACGGTCTGCCAAGATAGCTGTGTATCACCTGCAGGAACTGGCCTCTGCGGAGCTGGCCAAGGAGTGGCCTAAGAGGAAGGTGCTTCAGGACCTGGTGCCTGATGATCGGAAGGTGAGGGGAACATGGACTAGCTTGGGAGCCCTCGTGTCTAAAGTCATGCTTGCTATATGCAGAAAAGTAAGTTCCCTTGAGCAAGTACCTGATAGCAGTGTTTTGCTCATTTTTCCTTGGAGATAGAGTACATCTGGTCCAGCTTCAGTGTTTGGATTCAGGTGGGTTCTAGAGTTCTAGAGTAACAGTCTGTTTGATACGTTTCTTGAGGAGCCCTCTTTATTCTGGACTACTTTGAGAGGGAACCCGAATTCCCAGGTTAGGTTGTTGCTCAGTCTTTGTCCAGCACGTTTCCATTTTGTTAGTTCACAGTAGTAGTTTCTGTTTAGTTTCAATAAGTGGTTCCAGTTTGTTTTTGTAGTGACAGAACTCTCTAGCTTATTCCAAGTAAAAGCTTAGGCAAAACAACCAGTATATAAAATAACTTAAAAATGATTTGCTCTAAATAACTGGGGGTAGTGAGCCCAAAGCTTTGTTTACTTGGCCTTCTCTTGGAGACGTTTATCATTCCCTCCATGTGTTCCCAAGCATCCTTCTGAGGGATGTAGAACCTGTTTAGAAACCATGGGATTAGAACTGGTCACAGAAGCAGGGGCACTACTTAGCCAAAAGGAGAAGCAGTATGTGACTACAGGATCATCTTGAGAACAGGTGAGAGGGATGTGTAGTAAGGGCTAAGATCAGCACTGAGGCCCTCTTACTCCCCAGCGTGCCAAGAAGAATTGTTTAGATTTGGCAGGGGGTTTTGGCCACATGAGAGGAATGTTGTGTCTTTTTTTTTTTTTTAGTTGGAGTCTCACTCTGTCGCCCAGACTGGAGTGCAGTGGCCGCTCCCGGCCACCGCAGCCTCGTCCTGCTGGGCTCCGGCGATCCTTCCGCCTCAGCCTTCCGAGTAGCCGGAATTACAGGCATGCGCTACCACACCCGGCTGATTTTTTGATTTATTGCAGAGATGAGGTCTCGCTGCCCAGGCGGGTCTCGAACCCGCGGGCTCAGGCAATCCACTCACCTCAGCCTCCCAAAGGCGCGGGATTACAGGCTGAGCCACTGAGCCTGGCTTTTTGAAATGTTGTGTCTTACAAGAAAGTAAGCCCAAATGCTAGTTTCTAACATCTGTCTTTTGGTTTCAGAATCAGTCCTTGTGTTGTCCAGAGGGTTGAACTGTGTTTTTGAATGTTAAAGTATCCTTGCTTGTTTCAGATGTATTTCTACGTTTGTTTATTTATTTATTTGTATTTTTTTCCTGCTACAGATTAAGGTACATGGCTGTCTAAATTCAGTCTAAATGTGGGTTTTAGCTGGGCACAGTGGCTCATGCCTGTAATCCCAGCACTTTGGGCGGCAGATGCGAAAAGACTGCCTGAACCCAGGGGTTCAAAACCAGCCTTGGCAACTTGGCGAAACCTTATCTCTATGATAAATTTAAAAAAAAATTATCCAGGCATGGTGGCACATGCCTATAGTTCCAGCTACTTGGAAGGCTGAGGTGAAAGGATGACCTGGGCCCAGCAGGTCGAGGCTGCGGTGGCCGTGAGCGTGCCATTGCACTCCAGCCTGGGTGACAGAATGAGACTTTGACTCAATAAATAAACAAACAAACAAATAAATATGGATTTTGCTGTGATATATATCTCATGATATTATGGTCAAGTTTCACTGTGTGTAGGATATGATAGGAAATGTGAAATAAATATTTATTAATTTATGGATTAGGTTTTGCAGTCTTATCTAGCAAACACTTTCCTAAAAAATCATCTGGCAATTTTATATTTTTGATTGTGTGTGTGGTAAAAGGTATTAGTCTTAAAAATAAACATTTAATTTTTCAGACTACATAATATATTCTCATGGTTGAAAAGTCAAAATGATGACAAGCCTTGAGATATCCACTCCTACCTTGTCCTTGCTCTATCCAGATTACCTATTCTTGTTAGTTTCTTATACATCTTTCCAGTGTTTCTTGATGTACATACAAGCAATGCATATTCTTTCTATTAAATTTTTTTTTTTTATTTGGAGTCTCACTTTTGTTGCCCAGGCTAGAGTGCAGCAGCACACTAGCGGCCACCGCAGCTTCAACCTACTGGGCTTAGGTGAGCCTTCCGCCTCAGTCTTCCAAATAACTAGAATTACAGACGCACGTCACCACGTCCGGCTAGTTTTTGTGATTTATTGTGGAGACGAGGTCTCATTAAGTTGCTCAGACTGGTCATGAATCCCTGGCTCAGGCAAACCTTTTGCCTTGGCTTCTCAAAGTACTGGGATTAGAGACTGAGCCACCATGTCCAGCCTAAACTTTTAATTTTGAAATAATTTTAGACTTACAGAACAATTGCAGAATGAGTATGGAATTTTAGTACGGAATTTCTGTATGCTCTTCATCCGGCTTCCCCTAATGCCAGCATCTTACATAAACCATATGATAGGATTCCATCAGGGTGCCGTCAGGATCCCATGCTTTATATTGTTACTGTATCTCCTTAGTCTCTTCCAATCTGTTATCATTCCCCTGCCTTTGTTTTTGTGTCTTTGATGCTTTTGAACAAGACTGGCTGGCTGTTTTGTAGAGTGATTCCTAGTGTGGATTTGTATGGTATTTTCTCAAGATTAAGTTGAAGGTTATATGTTTTTGGCAAGAATACCATGAATTGGCCCGTCTCCATGCATTGTGTATGATGTTGATATATCTCTTTACTGATGATTACTTTGGTCAGTTAGTTTGGGTGTGTCTTTAAACTGTGGTAAAATTACAATCTTTTCCTTTGTAATTGGTGAGTATTTTGTGGAGAACTTGAGACTGTGCACGGATCCTGTTTCCTTTTTTTTTTTTTTGAGTTGGAGTCTCACTAGGTCGCCCAGACTGGAGTGCAGTGGCTGGCCACCTCAGCCTCGACTGCTGGGCTCTGGCGATCCTTCCACCTCAGCCTTCCGAGTAGCCGGAATTACAGGCATGTGCTACCACACCCGGCTGATTTTTTGATTTATTGTAGAGATGAGGTCTCGCTGCCCAGGCGGGTCTTGAACCTGCAGGCTCAGGCAATCCACTCACCTCAGTCTCCCAAAGGCACGGGATTACAGGCGGAGCCACCGAGCCCGGCAGATCCTGTTTCTTAACATCGTTCTGCCCACTTATGTTAGCACCCGTTGGTGATTCTTGCCTGCAACAGTTACTGCTATGGTGTTTATCTAGTGATGATTTTTGTTTTTGTCATTTTTTCCTTCAGTTATTAGTTAGACTTCTACTGTGAGAAAGATCTATTCTTTTCCTCTATTAATTTATTTATGTTCGTATAGACTTGTACTCATTTTATTCCATGGGTTATACTCTCATGCTACTATTACTCAGTGTCCCAGATTTGGCCATTGAGAGCTCTTTCAAGTGGGTCTCTATATCTTCTTGACATGCCCCTCTCATTTTTTGAGCATGTTCTTAGTTTCTGGCACCATAAGATACACTATAGGGTCATCTTGCATTTTTCCTCCCCCAACCCTGCAGTCAAGTATTTCTCTAAGGAACTCTGGTTCCACCTGTTAGAGAATATATATATTTTTAATTTTTAATTTGTTTTTGAGTTGGAGTCCCACTCTCTTGTGCAGGCTAGAGTGCAGTGGCACAATCATGGCCATTGCAGCTTCTGCCTGCTGGGCTCAGGCGATCCTTCCGCCTCAGCCTTCCAAGTAACTGGAACTACAGGTGTGCACTACCATGCCCGGCTAAGTTTTTGATTTATTAGAGAGATGAGGTCTGGCCATGTTGCCCAGACTGGGTCTCGAACCCATGGACTTAGGCAATCCTTTCACCTTGACCTCCCAAAGTGCTAGGTAAAGGTGTGAGTCTCCGCACCCAGTGAGAGAATATATTTAAAAACAAACATTTTAGCACATTGTATTGGGGTATGCTCATTTGTACTGATATGTCATTGCTTCTGTGCCAATTTGGTGGATCGAGCTAGGTTATAAATGTACATATATTTATATATGCATATGCACACGTTTATTTCTATATCTCTCGATATGTGTGCTTATTAAAAGCCATAATACCTTCAATTCGAACCATATTCCACAGGTTCCATTCTAGCCTTCCTCTTTCCTTATTTGTAGCTCTTTTCTCCAATAGTGAAAAACTTGGCTCTCATTATCTACAATACACATACTTCTGCTCAATTTGAGTATTACAAAAAGCAGTTTCAGAATTGCTAACTCATTTCTCTGTAAAAAACAAATTGACTAACTAGAGAATATTTGTGTATAGTTTTTTCACTTTTAGCCTTACAGTATATATTCAAAGTAATATTTTCCAGAGTTACTTAGGTTGCTTTTTCTTCTCCACTCCCTTTATTGTGTCACTCATTTGTAATAGATTCATCTGTTACTTTTTTTTTTTTTTGAGTTGGAGTCTCACTCTGTCACCCAGGCTGGAGTGCAATGGCGCACTCACAGCCACCTGCTGCAGCAATCCTTCCGCCTCAGCCTTATAAGTAGCCGAAACTACAGGCACGCGCCACCATGTCTGGTTAATTGTATTTTTTTATTTATTGTAGAGATGAGGTGTCACCAAGTTGTCTGGGCTAGTCTCGAATTTGCGGGCTCAGGCAATCCACTCGCCTTGGCCTCCCAAAATGCTGGAATTACAGCCTGAACCACTGAGCCTGGCCTATTTAAATTTTTTATTTTAAAGATGTAGGGTACAGGCAACCCCCTCGGGTGCTCTCCTGCTGTGGGAGCTTTTCTGTCCTTTAAATAAATCCTGCTTTCCAAAAAAAAAAAAAAAAAAAGATGGGGGTACAATTCAGGGTTAGGTATACAAATGTTCATTATGCAGGTACCCTTGTTGATGTGGTATGAGTGAGAACATATGGTACTCTGTTCTTTGTTTATTTTTATTTTTGAGTCAAGGTCTCTGTCGCCAGGCAGGAGAGCAGTGGCACGCTCATGGCCGACGAAACCTTGACCTTGTGGGCTTAGGAGATCTTCCTCAGCCTTCCAAGCAGCTGGAACTCCAGGCACATGCCACCACACCCAGCTAATTTTTTGATTTATTGTAGAGACAAGGTCTCAAACCCCTGGCCTCAGACAATCCTCTCTCCTTCGCTTTCCAAAGAGCTGGGATGATAGGCATGAGCCACTATTCCCTTCCTTCTTCTTTGTTTTTTTCTGCACTCTGCTTTATTTCAGTTAACAGTACAGTTGTCAAGCCGGGTTTGGTGGCTCAGCCTGTAATCCCGCACCTTTGTAGACTGAGGTGAGTGAATTGCCTGAGCCCGTGGGTTCGAGACCCGCCTGGGCAATTTGGTGAGACCTCATCTCTACAATAAATCAAAAAATTAGCCGGGTGTGGTAGCGCGCGCCTGTAGTTCTGGCTGCTTGGAAGACTGCGGCAGAAGGCTCGCCAGAGCCCCAGCAGATCGAGGCTGCAGTGGCCGGGAGCAGCCACTGCACTCCAGTCTGGGCGACAGAGTGAGACTCCAACTCAAAAAAAAAGAAAAAGCAACAACAACAAAAAAATACAGTTGTCCCTTGGTATATGTAGAGAATTGGTTCCAGGAATCCTGAGCATATCCAGATTTGCTCATACCCAAGTCCTGTGATTGGACCTGTTGAACCTCTGTATATCAAATGTAGTTCCTTCGTATACATGGGTTTTGCATTTCAAGTCTTCGTTTGGTTAAAAAAAAGACCACATGTAAGTATACCTGCACGGCTCAAAGCCATGTAGTTCAAGGGTCAATTGTATATCCTGGAAATCACTCCCTGTGTCTTCATAGAGCTCATCCTCATTCTTTATTTACAGCTTCATAGTACATAGTTTATATAAATATGATATGCAAAAAATAGTTTATCCATATATTGCCCCATCATCATAAAAGATTTTAGACAGACCCATTTATACTTAACTTCAGAAAAAAGTAAATTCTTTTTTTTTTTTTTAAAGCAGGATTTATTGAGAGGACACTAAAGCTCCCAAAGCAGGAGGGGACCTGAGGGGGTTGCTCTAAATTTTTCTTACCAGAACAACAAAAAATGTCTTTGCTTTTTTTTTTTTTTTTTTTTGAGTTGGAGTCTCACTCTGGCGCCCAGACTGGAGTGCAGTGGCCGCTCCCGGCCACCACAGCCTCGACCTGCTGGGCTCCGGTGATCCTTTTGCCTCAGCCTTCCAAGTAGCTGGAATTACAGGCATGT